CTGCACACTCACTCTACCGTGGACTGTTCTGTACAGATGGTCTCACTTAATCTTCACAAATGTTGTTATTCCCACCTAACAGGTAACTGAAACTGACTAATACCTTGCACAGCGTCACCTAAATAAGAGAAGGCGGAGCTGGAATTCAAAACCATTTTGGCAGCTTTAAGCACATCGTCCACACTCCTGGCTGCTACTTATATGTATTGCACATGTGGCACCAGCTTTGAGAAGCCAAGTGCAGGGGCTGCAGGATTGGTACTGAGCACTGGATTCAGAACTCAGTCCTCTCTCGTATTTCTTGAACTGCCTGATGTTTAAGGAGCCCAGTTCACAGAGCTTGCAAGGGGACTGCTAAGCTCACTGGAAACACGACTATTTGACTGTTGTGGTCTTCCAGTGCACACATTCCTGCCTCCCTAGAGACATCATGAGAGGTTCAGGAGGTGATAAAGGCTTTAGGTGGGAGAGCTTAAAACGAGGTGGGTAGCAATCCGAGACTCATGGGGGCTGAGAAGACCGTGAATCTTCCCCCAGAAGGATGAAGGCAAAGCAGAAGACAGGTTAGCGTGCTCCGAGATTCGGTGGAGGAGAATGGGGGAAAGTCACAAATAAGGCACTGAGTTCTAATTCACACTGTAGTAAAATGCGGGCTCTGAACTACACTGCTAGTTTCTCATTTTTAGGTTCTTTCTCTCTCTCTTCACATCTGTCTGTGAGCGTTTGCCAGGATTCTTCCTTAGTCATACATGTCGCCTCCCAGGATTTCAAAATCCCTTATCCTTAAGAACTGCATGTTTCTCCCCTTCCCGGCAAGGTCAGGCTCCTCTTCTCTCTTCCTCTCCCTCTCTCGTCCTCTCCGGCCCTCCCTCCTCTTCTTGGGTGAGTTGCCGGTTACCGGGTAACAAATCACCCAACACATAGTGGCTTCAAACAGCCGTGTACTGTTACTCCCTCTCACAGTCTTGGGAAATGGCTAGGTTCAGCCGAGTCTCGGTTCCCACGCAAGGGCTCTCACGCGACTGCCCTCAGCTGGGAGCTGAGGTCGGTGTCATCGCCCTGGGCGGGACATCCCCGCTGGCGTCTTCATCGCATGTCTGGTGCCTCGGCTGAGGTGGCTGGAGACTGACTGGCCATTCCCCTCCGTCCCTGACTCCTTCCTTCCCCCTCTGTGTGCTAACCACAGCGCCTCTCTACATGGTTACCATGGACTTTTCACAGCACAGAGGTTCCGGGGTAGCTGGATTCTTACATGGCAGCCGTCTTTCCCCCAGACTCGCATCCCAAGAAGCAGTGGAAGGGAGCTGAAAGCTTACGGCCCAGCCTCGCAGGGCACTCGGCGCTGCTGCTGCCTCCTCTTATTCCAGAGTTCACAGGGCCAGCCCAAGGCAGAGGGACCGCCCTAGGGTGCGAGCACGGGAGCTGTGGCTTATTGGGGTGGGCGCGCCCCTCCAGAGACTAGTGAACATACTTCTCACTTATTGAAATGTCTGCCCCTTTCTTATTCCTTATAATTGAAAAGTCTTACGTCACTGTTTTATATCTTGCTTTGCATCCATATTTTTTCTTCCTAACGGTGGCTCCTGTTGAGGACGATGGCAAGGCTTCTCTGAGGAATTCTTAGGCATTCTTTCAAAAGAATCTTGAGACTATGCTTTCATTTATGATTAAAATTTCAGCACCCAAAAGGCCCTCTAGGGAAGCTTTGTGACTATTTTTCAGAAAGTCTGTTTGGGAAATCAGATTTAATTCACTTTTTAACCACTGATGATAACATATCAAACTTGAAGGCAGATCAGTTTGAGAGAAAAGCAATCCACCCTCATGTGTGGGTGTCCTTGGGTGAACTCCCCAACAATCTTGCTTTTCATGCTTGGCCACTAATTAAAAAACCTGTTCTCTTCTTGGGACTGAACCATAGTTTACTTTCTGGCTGGACTTTCTTTTTTTTTTTTTTTTCACTTACATTCAAGCTCTTCCACAAGCCAAAGCTTATTCTTTGCCCCTCTCCCCAGCAACTCCCCCGCAAAAGGGATAACTGGAATCTAAAAGATTTGTTGCCTGGTCACATGGCAGTTTCAGAAATTCTTTGTTTAAAACCTCGGACGGATGGAGGGCTTAACTCTCCCGAGCTTCCGCAATGCCATTGAGGTCTCAAGTTCTTATAAAGAGTTATTGGCTTTTTTTTCCTTTTTCAAAAGAAGCTAAATCTGCAAAGCTTTTCTCTGGTGATTATGGAAAACAGCACATGGGGGAGAAAGTGGGCAGTTGGAGGTGGCAAATATCTTGATTTTTTTTTTCTCTGCCCACAAGTCCCAGAAAAACTCAGCATCAAGGATTCATTTGCTCATGAGATTTCACTGTGGTTGCCACTAAGGAAAAAACTCCTAGAAACTGTAGGGCAGACGGGCTTCTGAGCTCTGGGGAGAGAGGACCTGTGGTGGGAAGCCAGGCGCTCCTTTCCCCGTTTACAAGGATGAGAGTTAAGCATCCGAGGTTGATAGCGTCTCTCTCACACTGAGCTGGATCCAGCCCTCTGATAAATGACTGAAGCATGATCAACAGCAGTTGGGGTTTTCCATAATTTGCGTTTAAGCAAGGAAAAGATTTCATTTAAAAAGAAAAACACCTTTTAGATGCAGTCCTTTCCCAGTTTTTAAAAAAGCATTCAAAAATAGCAGATTATCCTGTTGGTGAATTCTTTCTGCATCTCTGGCCTCAGGCTTGGGTTCCACATGCAGATTAAATGGAAGCTTCACAGCAACAGAGGGTCCTCCGCTCAGAGTCATTCAGCCCTCAGTTTCTTCCAGTGGACTTTAGAGCAAGATCTTCTACGAAGCTTTCCACTGAACCCCTGAGCAAAAATTTCCACTGGACATGAGGCAAAGCATGTGGGCCCTTGGGGCCTGAGGCCCAGGCAGAATGCACTGCCCACCCCTCTCCGCCACCACCAGGACCCCCGTGAAGGTCAGCTCAGGGCTCTCCTTGGTCTTGTCAATCTCTTGAAAACAAGAGAATGAACCAGCCTGGGGGCAGAGCCTCAGGAAGGAAGGGGGGCTGGGCAGGGACCATGGGGCCAGGACAGGCGTTCTCAGTCACCGTTTCCTGAATTCTGACAGCTTCCCCGTGAAGCCCTCTTCATCCCATCCGTGCAGGTGGGGAGACCTGAAGCCAAGAGTTTCAATAACTTGCTTTCATGCACCTTGGTTAAACTCAGTATTTAAAGTCTTTCCGTGGAATCTAAGAATTTTATTTAAGCCTTGGGTAAAATGAAGGATTTTCATCTCAGCCCGTCTGACAGCCTCGCCAGCGGTCCTTTCCTCACCCTCCCCACCCTGGTCCCTCGAACAAGCCCGCGGTAACCGGTAACCCGCTTCTGAAGTAAAACGGGGGAGCTTTCTGGAGGTGAGCCTGTGGCACTTGGCCGAGTAACGACAGCTGTCACTCTCTCTTGTTTGATCCTATAGTGGAGTACGACCAGGAGTTCTCCCCTCGCCAGCGGCACCACAAAGAGTTCAAGTTCAACCTATCCCAGATTCCTGAGGGTGAGGCGGTGACGGCGGCAGAGTTCCGAGTCTTCAAGGACTGTGTTGTGGGCAGTTTTAAAAACCAAACTTTTCTTATCAGCATTTATCAAGTCTTGCAGGAGCATCAGCACAGGTATGAAGGCTCGAGGCACCCCAGAGGGTGGGGCTGGCCCCCGTTTCCCTCCCTGTGGTCCCATCACCCCGAGTATGTCTGTGGAAGGTGGCTTGGAGTTCAGCGGCGGCGCCCCAGCGCGCGCAGGGATGTGTCACCGGTGGTGGCGCGGAGCCAGCAAGCAGACTTCTTTTTTGCTAGTCAGTTGAAGATTTTCCAAACAGCTTTCTTCTCCGAAGCAAGCCAGTGAGTGGAATTTACTAAGCACCCTTTGTGATCAGAGAACACATGACTTACTGGGGTTAGTATGTGCCCCACTAGCGTTTAGTCTCTGCTTTGAATGTCGGTGAGAGTGACTAACATAAATTCACGTCTGAAAATTACATGAGGATGGTTCTAAATGCTACCGATCCGAGTCAATAGATGGCTCTGTGTTTGTGTGCACAACACACACACATATGATACGTCTTTGAGTGAGTGTGTTTGTGTATGTGTGTGTCTCAAAGGTATTCTTTTTTTTAATATATGTATTTGAAAAGGCAGCATGATTTCTTTTTTTTGTGCTCTTTTTAACACCTTTAATGTGGTATGATTCCTGTACAGTAAACTACACATATTTCACATATACACTTTGATGAATTTTGATAGATGTCTACACCCATGAAAGCACCACCACAATCGGGATAGCAAACATCTCCATCACTCCCCTCGAGGTGCAAATTTCGAGTTCCCAGTTTATCCCCTCCCACCCCCTCTCTTCCCTGGTAACCGTAAGTTTGCTGTCTATGTCTGTGAGTCTGTTCTGTTCCGTAGATAAGTTCAAAGGTATTTTTATCACGTGGACTTGAGGAAACCAGGGACTTTTTTCTCTGTGTCTGTATTCTTCTCGTTCCTGAAATGAGGCCACACCATTTTACAAAGAACAACGGGGAAGTGTGTCCCTGGGGCCGCCTAGCAAAGAAAGAGAAGCTTCCACGGAGTGACCGTTAGAGGCCTGGAAAGGCTGAGGGGTGAAGTATCGCAGCGGTGGGTTCCGTCCTGCTGCACCCAGAAAACAAGCTCAGGGCCTTGAACTTGCTGAGTGTCAGGGAGCAGGTGAGCGGCTCAGCCAGGCCGGAGCACCTGCAGCCAAGGCTGGTGAGCGCGGCCCGTGGTCCTCCTGGGCCGGAGGTGGGGACTCGGCCCGGAGATGACAGCCTGCTGACCGTAGGGTAAATATGAAGATACAGTTAAAGGAAGAAGATGCAGGGGGCAGGAAGCCCTGCATTTGTGGATTCTGTTAGCTTTGGTCTTATACACCAAGTTCAGATTCTTGCTTTTGGTCCTGGAAATCTATGGACTTCCCAAGAAGGTCCAAAAGTTTGGAGCAAGAAGGTCCAAAGGAATGAGTTTGGTTTCTCCTCCGCTGACGGATCTGTTTACAGGTCTGTCACAAATACACGCGCTAAAATAACAACCCACGTTGACTTGCCCCATCAAAGGCTTGTTTTGAGCACACTGCCAACATCGGGCTCTGAGGCACGCTCATGTCTGTAATGAGGGAAAGAGAGAAGGAGGGCCAAGCCGGGCTCTGGGGTCACTCCTTGGACTGGGACACTCACACGGATGATTGTACATGAGTGCTTAGCTGGGGCAGTTAAATAATCAGTGAAATCCAGCCGCTGTGGTATCTTTATAACAGACCTCGCTCTCAGAATGGCAGGGAAGTGTCCCGCTGTCTGGCTTTCACTCCTCAATCAAAGCATGTTCAGCGACTTAACTGTTAAGGGCCTGTTTCGAACAATAAATTATTGGTTGCTGGATCTTCATTGCTTTCGCTGTTTCAGAGAGCGTTGGTGTTCAGTGGTTCCTTGGAACCGCTTCGGCTGCTGACTTTCAATCTGCCTAATGACACCCCCACCTTCCTCCGGCAGGAATCACCTCCTGCTGGAGGGTATTTGTCTGGAATACATGGTTTTCTCTGTGGTGCAGGAAAAGCGTTACAGTGAAAACACTGGATTGGAGGTTTTGTGACTATGGAATTTTTTTCAAAATTATTATTATTTAGAGAGAGAGAGAGAGAGAGAGGAGAGCTAGCAGACGTTTGTAAGGTTTATATTGAACTCCAGCCAAAAATGCACAGCTGCCTTGGGCTCAAGATGGTGGCGTCATGCCTCCTCCGGGCCAGCAGCGCGCTTGGAAAGCAAACTCCCAAACGGTCCCAACCTTTGATGACTCTGTCGAAGCAGAGCTGTGGTCTGGCGATTGGATGTGTTTCCTTTCTGTGCGGAGGGAAGCAGAAATACTGGGAGAATTGAGAGACTGTCGTGCTTTTGAAGAGTTCCAGGTTGGCCAGGAGGAGATTTTCTTTGCTTATCGGTGGCCCGGTGCCCAGGCTGCCTGCGGTCTGCTCACGTGCTGCCAGGGGCCTCTATGTCGGGCTGCGGGGCCCCTTCTGGGGAAGGTTCCGTCTCCCCGTCTGTATTGTGTTGGGGTGTCTTGGCTGAGACGGATCCCCCAATGCGTGTGAAGAATTGTATTTGTCTAACCCGAGTATAAGTGAAATTTGTGGTATTTGATGGACTGACTTAACAAATGTGGGTCTTGCAAAAGAGTTGGCCTCCTTGAAAAAGAAAAAAAAAAAAAAAAAGACAGGTTTTCCCATGCTGAGTCATGCACTCAGCTGAGGCAGAAGAAATTCTGTGCTGGGCCTCTTGGTGTAAAAGGCGGCCAGGAAGCCCAACGCGGGGAGGGTCAGAAAAGATTCTTGGAAGATAGGCCATTGCTGTGAACTTTGCAGACACCGATTCCTCTGAGTAATAAGAAATCATTGGACCAGGTAAGTTCAAAAAAGTGATGGCTTGAACAGATGGTGCTTTGGGTAAGAA